AGGGCCGTGGTAGCATAATTGGTCAGTGCATTCGCCCGGATTGCGAAGGGTTGCGGGTTCGAGTCCCGTCCGCTGCCTGGTCCGCGTGGATTTATTTCTAGCAAAACCTTTCTTTAGATTTAAACATCTAGCAATTAAATACTTATAAAAATAAAAACATAACTATAATTGCCATTTCTTCTTTCAAGTGTTTAATACTTGTAAAAGTATTCAGTTTTTTTTTTGTCTAGTAAAACTTTTCTTTTAAAATTTATAATGATAAAGACCCTATTTATATTCGTCAATTTGTACTTATATAGTTAGATATTGTTGGATAGAAAACATAAACATTCCTATTTGCACACTTTCATGATAACTTAATACATCATGTATACAGACATTTTACGATCTACCACACAAATAACTTAGAACTATTAAACTTTTATGAGCACACTTTGTACATAAACTTTGCAATGCTAAATCGAATTAACATGAAATTAAAGTCATTTTATTGCTTACGTAGCGTACATAACGTTCTATACGAGTTCTTAAATTTTAATCGTTTCCCAAATTGGGTAAGGTAGGTAAATTGTTGTGAAAATCATATTATCTCTCATAAGCCAATTAGTAAACTGAGCTTCGAACAAGCTACTTTGAGCTTTGTAATCACACAGTACTATTATATTAGGAAGGTTACGTTACGTCGACCGCAACAAATCGAAACCAAATATTACTTATGTTACAATTGTAATTACTTGCCCTGACTAAGTTGTGTTGTTATTAATGATAGTATGGAGAACTATTGTTGAAATGAAACAGCACATACAGGATTTAATCTAGATCATTGTTTTAAAATTTTTCGGTCACTAACATTATAGTACCTTGTTTTGAGCGAGTTTCTGATATTTCCTATATGGCTGTCAAAAGATTTTTTTTGTAAGTATAATTCAGTAGAATACCATTATGAGAAGCAACAATTTTTATTATATTTTTTTATTTTTTAAGCATGTAACGGCTCGATTTACTAGAAAAAAATCCACGCGTACCAGGAAGCAGACGGGACTCAAACCCGCACCCTTCGCTATCCGGGCGAATGCACTGACCATTATGCAACCGCGGCCTTGGTAGCCGTGTCGAATTCTCTCGTAACCTTATTCCATAAAACAAGCCTACAGTGCTTACTTTGGGGCTAGCCTAATTGGTGTGAGTGTTGGAAATATTTATTTATTTATTATTTACTATGGATTATAAATATAGGACCATAAAATCAGATCATTATTTGAAAATAAACCTTGATTATTGTATACATTACTGTTTGTTTCCTTAACTGCAAATTCCCAGAGCCTCAGGGGATGTTTGCATTTCATTTTGTTCAGGGCAAAGCTGTTATTTCAACGAAACAAGGGCGGCCTTCGCACGTTTTAAGTATAGGTTAGTTTTACTGTTGTTTTATTGAACAACAAAGGACATGTGGGCCAATCCCATGAATAAAATAATGACTCTCGATGCGTCGACCACCAAGATAAAGGAGATTTTATTCAAAGTGAAACGATACTTTTCTTAATGATTACAGTGCTTTTTTGTATTTTACCAATTATATAAATCAATTCGTTTAGACATGAAATGATATATCACTATTACATTATAATTATATCCTACAATTCAAGCCTTCACTAAAGGTTTTTTAAATTTATTTTGAAAGGAAAATGAAATGGTTTTTGTTTAATTATTAATGTTATATGTATTTACTTACTAGCGCTATAAATGATAAGATTAGCTAAATCTATCAAAGAACCATTTATAATAAGGTACTTACAAAATTACTTAATTATTTCTTAATTATAGTTGTTTAAGAGGAAGGCATTTTTTCAACCTGCAAAGACAACAGTAAATTGAAAATGTAACTTTTACTGATAACGAGAACCGAATAGAGTGAAACTCCAGAATGCTGATGTGCAACGTTCGAGCTGGAGTAAGCGTGTGTAGCTTGTTCTTGTGTTGCAGGGGGCGAGGGCAGGCGGCGCTCGTAAGCGGACCCAGGTAGCGTGTTGTGCGTGCAATAGGCGTACTGTTGTCACTGTACTAGCGCGCGAGTGAGCGTTCCACGCCGAATCTACTGGGCGCGCCTTGCCTTCTCCATTTCTACTGTTGCGTTTCGTGACTCCATGGTTTTTTACTGTTGTGTTTTGTTTTATTTTGTTTTTCTTTTTTTAAATGTGGTGAAGTGGTTAATGTTTTTTGTGATTTGTAAATGTGTTTAAGTGTTTTGTTTTGTTTCCTTTTTTTTGTAATGTTTTAATAAAAATATGCGGTTTACTTTTCCCCGAGGCGCGCCCATTAATAAAGTGGATTCGGCATTGAACATAAAAATACTCACTATGCACTTAGTTATCGTCGTGCTGTAAAAAAACGTTTTATTTTCGTATTCATTTCGATACGTAATTAGTGTGGTTTTATTTAACTTGTTTTTTTTTGTTTTCGTTTTTACTGTCATTAATTTTTTTGAACACACGTTGTGATTTCTGTAAAGAGCCCAATGCAACGCCCAAAATTTACCATTTGGAAAACACTCGTTTTTTTTTTGAAGATATATTTCATATAACTTTTAAATGACACTGATTGGGTGCCGCGATATTTCCAAGCTCGAACAGAAGTCTTGAGAGTTTATTTTATATATATAAATACATGTCTGTTTATATAAAGCGATGAACTAATTGACAGTTTGACCTCCGAGGTTTCCGTAGCTCACGTGTCCCCCTATTAACCCCTTAATGTGTCACCTGGTTTATGTGAACTCTCTCCTACGGAATCCTCTCGATATCACCATTGCAACATTAGTGTAATGTGCTAATTTTTTGTGTTGAACTGGGTTTGAAGTTTTGTTGGTTGTTCTCATTACCTAACTGAAATGTGTGTACTATGTGTTTTATTTTTGTTATTATTAAATAGAGCTATTGATGTGTGTCATCAGTCTTGTAAAGCGGAGAGTGGTATTGTGTCGGTACCGCATTCTTACTATATAATATCTATGTATAAGATAGGGCGCTGTTAGTGTTGATATAATATATAATGTAACTTTTTGTTTTTGAATGTCGAGGAAATTATGACAAGTCCAGTTTTGAATCATGACTAATAAAGTCTAAGTGAGCGATCCAAGTTTATTATTAGTAAATAATATATAATACATTTGATAGTTGATGGGAAATTTGTGTAAACACTTACAAAGTAAAATTGCGAGCAAGCGAGCTAAGAGCGCAGACATGTTTTTTACAAAAATATAACGATACTTATTTTTACTTGATTATTTACATTTCGACTTTAAGTTTTCAAAGTGAATTAGAAACACAGAACAATCACGTAAATAATAATATTTTATTTGTGTCTAAACTCATAATAGTTTCACAAATAACCACATAAATATACACATATTTATATTGAAGCATATATTTTAAGACTTGTCATAATTTTAAGACGAATTTAAAACTTTCCAAATTACGCATTTTTAAATTTAACACAGTTCAGTTGACAACAGTATTATTAGGGCGCGCGCACATGACGCTTAGTTCGCGTACGCGCGCATACCCTGCCTTTATTAATGATAGATGGACGATTTTAAACCCTAACTTTTGGTAAAAACAGCTCATTTCACTAAAACAATTAAATTAAAAAAAAACCTTTTGGCTTTTTGAAAATCGTTCAGCTGTCGTTGTGTTAAGACAAAAAAATACAGTAGATCTAATGACAATGCTGCAAACGCCATGTTTAGAATATTTTTTTCTAAAAAATTCAAAGTGTAACCCTTTTGTTCACCTTAGCATTGTATGCGCGTTCATATTATTTGTATGTGTAAAGTTAATATTACCCCGTGTTGTTTATGACAAATGACTTGCATTGAAGTGTTGCTGAGGCAATAAATTAGTTTTTACTGAATAATAATATTATACTTTTAATGCTTACATCGTTGAGTTAACAGTATGCTGAAATAGCGTAAGTGTAAGTTGTTCAGACTTATGCATATTGTTTTGTAATAAACATTTACAAGACAACATTTTTATTCAATGTAATTACTTTATGTCATAATTTATTGTTAAGAATAAAGTCGCTATAAAAAACAAAAGACAAATGCAATACGAACAACTTTAATTTACGCAATTCGCTCGCGTTCCGAAGCGATGAATGTAAGTCATTCGAAATTCGAAATCGTGGCGCTCGCGGTTGCGGCTGCGGCGTCACGAGCGAGGTGGCTAGGTCGTGTGCGCGCCAAAATCCCCGCGCTCAGCGCCCTGTCACTCTGCGGTCACTCGCTACGAACCGCGATAGCCACCATTTCTAAAGGACCTCGTGCACGATGCAGGTGCGATGTTTCAGTTGCTGGCTGTTTTATTTTAACGATCTGGAAAATAGGCAAAGGGAAGCGGTAAAATTTTACAGTACGCACTTTAGTGATACGGTCACACTATTGCACTATCGCGTACAGTTACCGTACTCACGACGAATCTAACCAAGCAATAGTCACATTTCTGACCGTGTTCTGAGATATGACTATTTCTTGGCCTGACTTTTGAAAACGGTACGTGTTCGCGATAGCGCAATAATGTAGCCGTAGCATAAGAAGGCAGTGAAATTATATCAGACATTTTGTAGTTAAACACAATAAATTTCTGGCCAGCCCTTTCGGCATGTCCGCGACATGATATGATAAAGTTTTTTATCGACACTCAACTATCATCATTGTAGTCTGACAGTCAATGTCGATAAATTGCTTTATCATATCGCGTTTTGGTGGTCATGCTACGGGGGCTCATTTGATAAAGGGGATCACTATCGGTTTTAGTTTTAATCCATCGCAACCAATAATCAATAATCGCTACTAAAATATCCAGATTTGACTGTTGATTTTATTATTTTGCTGCTGAAATGTCGTACTTTTTGATATTACTAACTTTCGCCACCACACGTTGGTTTCGGCGTGCCTGCGGTGTTCCAATGCAAGCGTGACATCTGTTCATTTTTCGTCACAGATCGAAAGCTGTTCGTGGGCATGCTGAGCAAACAACAGACGGAGGAAGATGTGCGCCAGTTGTTCACACCGTTCGGGACTATAGAGGAGTGTTCGATATTGAGGGGGCCCGACGGAGCCAGTAAAGGTAAGTGCTGATTTACGCCACTGAAATAAACTGGGTTGCTAACAAATATACCTAAATGTACAAGTAATAGTTGGTATAAATTGGTGATGACAACTGTCATTATTTTTGCTAATCAAGACTATGTGAATTTAAGCAATACCAGCATTATCGTGTGCGCTGCAACTGTTTGTGTTTTGGAATACAACCTATTTTTTAATACAACCCCCTTTAACTCTTTTTTTATCAAAATAATGGAAATCCGCGTTTGGTGAAATTTTGTTTTTCTTTTTTTTCCTTCGTCCGATGTCCGTTATCGCACTGTACGAACTTTGTGGACGGGGGCTAGGCGAAAAAAAGTGTAAGATTTTTCGCCACGACAACACTGCCCTTGTTATAGTATAGACTAACAAATATACCTAAATGTACAAGTAATTAGTTGGTATAAATTGGTGATTTCAACTGTCATTATTTTTGCTAACCAAGACTATTTCAAAGATGTGAATTTAAGCAATACCAGTATTATCGTGTGCGGTGGAACTGTTTGTATTTTTTAATACAACCTCCTTTAACTCTTTTTTATCAAAATAATGGAAATCCGCGTTTGGTGAAATATATTTTATTTCTATTTTTTTTCCTTCGACCGATGTCCGTTATCGCACTGTACGGACTTTGCGGACGGGGGCTAGGCGAAAAAAGTGTAATATTTTTCGTCACGACAACACTGCCCTTGTTATAGTATAGGCTAACAAATATACCAAAATGTAGAAGTAATTAGTTGGTATAAATTGGTGATTTCAACTATCATTATTTTTGCTTATCAAGACTATTTCAAAGATGTGAATTTAAGCAATACCAGCATTATAGTGTGCGTTGGAACTGTTTTTATTTTTTAATACAACCTCCTTTAACTCTTTTTTATCAAAATAACGGAAATCCGCGTTTGGTGAAATATATTTTATTTCTATTTTTTTTCCTTCGTCCGATGTCCGTTATCGCACTGTACGGACTTTGCGGACGGGGGCTAAGCGAAAAAAGTGTAAGATTTTTCGCCACGACAACACTGCCCTTATTATAGTATAGACTAACAAATATACCTAAATGTACAAGTAATTAGTTGGTATAAATTGGTGATTTCAACTATCATTATTTTTGCTAATCAAGACTATTTCAAAGATGTGAATTTAAGCAATATCAGCATTATAGTGTGCGTTGGAACTGTTTGTATTTTTAACACAACCTACTTTAACTCTTTTTATTAAAAAAAGGGAAATCCACGTTTGGTGAAACATATTTTATTTCTATTTTTTTCCTTCGACCGATGTCCGTTATCGCACTGTACGGACTGACGGGGGGGGCTAGGCGAAAAAAAGATTTTTCGTCACGACAAGACTGCCCTTGGTATAGTATAGACGGTTCTTGATGAATAATATAATACGTTTATTAATAATAATATACTACGAAAGAACCTTCATTCCAACCGAGTGTTTCACGACACTCACGCATAATTTTTCTCTTTTAATCATCTTTCAAATATGAAAATATACAAAAGCTCTTCACTTATTATATAACCAAATTCTGCAGTAACGTATTTTCAACTAAATGAGTGCGTATACTCTTGCTTACATACATACCTATCATCCGTCGCAGCCTTCTCATAACTAACATTAATGTCGAGCAATATACGAAAGGAAATATAATACAATCTAGTAACGGTAATGTAATTGAATGAAACAAGTCCTACCTGCGCGTCTCGCGTATTGATAAGGCGCCCGTATAAATACACTGTAAATACGCGCCGCGTAACGAATGCGGGCCCTTACGCGATGAATTATTTACGCGCCCTCACCGGGCCTTAAGTAAAGTGTGGCTTTGAGTTATGTTTTTTTTCGGAAATGAGTTCTCACCCTAGTAGTACCGATTAGCGTCGATGATTGGAAGGTTGCTTTGAAAAAGTTTTATTTTTTATTTTTGAAGTGAAACTTCTTTACTCACTCTTGATTTGGGGGGTAAGCTGGCGAATGCGTTACGCGTTACGAAAAGTGTGTTCGGGCGTGGCGAACGGGAGTTGAGTGGAGAATAGAAGCAAGAGAAAGCAGTGCGCGCGCACATTTTGACGACCTCCGTGGCCGAGTGGTTTGTACGCCGGGTTTCATGGTGTCGCCGACTCGAGAGGTCCCGGGTTCGAATCCCGGTGGAGGCAGATGTTTCTGTGATGAATACGAGCATTTGTACTCCAGTCATGGATGTTTAATATGTATTTCTATATACATATACTTATATATGTATTCTATCCGTTACCCTAGCATCCCATAACACATCCTTATAGTGCTTACTTTGGGGCTAGGCTAATTGGTGCGAGAGTCGGAAATATTTATTTATTTATTTTCTTGCTCTCTTTCTCTTATTATTTGCCATGATCATATTTTTTTTATTCTGTTGATTTGACTATTCATTGGTATTGTTTTGTAATAGGGTTCCAATTAAATATAGAATTTCAAGAAATCATTTTTCCCTATATAAAAGAGAGATTTAAAATATACGCTTTTGATTGAAACAATATATTTTTCATTTTGTAAAGTTTAAAGATCAGGCTTTAACTAATAAAAGAGCAGTATCCTTTGCCTTCGCTATAAGAAAATTCTGTAAAAAAATAATGACGAATGCGAAATCGAATTACACAATATACTACACCACCGTGTCAAATGCGTAATTGAAACAGTGTAATGTGTCATGCGGCGCGACAGTCTATTACGGAACACAACTTTAATTTCATTTTCGCACTCGCTCAAAATTGTTGGATTTTAATTGAGCTGCGCCCGTAACGGTGAGGGGGGGAGCTTGCCATAGTTAAAAAATACAAGTAAGTTTTGTCGCGAATACATCGACTCTACTTGACATCCTATTTCAAATAATCCTTGGTTGATTGGTAGAAGATATTATGCTATAAAACTGGGGTTTATATTTTTTTAAACTTTCATGGTCACTAACATTATAGTAATATAAGTTATTTACGGGGTTGTTACCATGTACCTTGTTTTTAGCGAGTTTCCGATATTTCGGCACTGTTGCAAGCGCCATGATCACGGAGTAACTAACTGTTGCAACAGTGCCGACATATCGGAAACTCGCTAAAAACAAGGTACATGGTAACAATCCCGTAAATAACTTATATTACTAAAACTGGGGTTGTTTTATGTGTAAAGTACGCGATATTTAATTATTGCAATATCCACCTTTGACATAAGTTAAACTTTATTTAGCGATGAAACACAAGCGCGAAATCAGCCTCCGTAACGACTGGTCCGTATTCGACTGGTGCGCCCTATACGATTTTATTTGCCGACATTTTCATGTTTGTGTGAAGATGTTAAATCCACGAGGACTGCAATCTAGAATACACAAAGAGTTCACAATGTACAGCTATTACACATTGATAATAGCTAAGAAAAATAGTTTAAAAGGTCTAAATGTTAATAGAAATAAAAATTGTGTGCACGGACCTGACATCTGAAGTGAAACTTTATCTCCTAAATAAAAATACATTAGGCGGTGCATCAGGCATAGGAGAATATTTTAGTCACTAGGAGTCGAAAAGTGTCTTTTTTGTGACACTAAACAGGCCTTGTCAGAACAACAGCGCTGGTGGGACACAATTTCGCATCAGCTAATGCTGAGGGTCCTGGTTAGTCCTTTTTTCTTATATCGCAGGTAAAAAATCTTTTTACAGACGACGGCGCCATTAAGAGGCACACCGAGGGTCCTGGTTAGCCCTGAGATTTTTGAATTTGTATCTGTAAATGTATAAATGAGTGTTAATAAAATATATTCTATTCTATTCCAAAGGATACTTTACTCGTATCTTTCTACTATGTCATCGCACCGCGCGGTTTGTTAGTTACCTAAGCGGCGTTGTCTTTATGTAGACATTAAGGTTTTACGCTTGTACCTACCTACCTACGAATCTAGCTGCCGGCTGCCTCCGCTGTCATTATTGGACGGTAAAGTTATTAACTGCCGAGTACAGATGTACTGAACAGCATGGCAAATTGTTAATTCTTGTTAATTACCAGCGTGCCGCGGCGACGATAAAACCGCTTTTTACGCGGCGCCGGCGTCTTAAACATTATTGCCGACGTTTTCATTGTAAAATTCAGCTTTAGTACTGTCAATTTCGTGCTTGGGTATGTGGTATGCTGCCATTGGCCGGTTGGCGTAATGATAAAATATAAATCTAAGGCACACAGCTCTGCTTCGGTGATGCCACATTTGGCATTAGTTGGGCCTAAATTGGATCCAACCTGGCCAGAAGCCAAAGTAACCACACCTTTGGCAATTTCTGAAAGTTCCATTACGTTTATAGTAGTTTACTATTAAGTCGGAAAAGCTGTTTAGCATTGGAATACGGTATAAAATCAACTGAAAACAATAAAGGAGCTAGTTACTCGGCTGAATTAGAGAAGTAGGTACTTTAAATACGTTACTAATTAGGTGCCTCACCTAATGAAATTTTCCTACACCTAAGCTCAGGGATAGCAAAATATGTGACCTGTAGGAGTACGAAAACGGACACATGACGTCACTCCATCAAAATCTCTACCAATGAAGTGCGTCAAGAATAGTTGGTGACCAACTTCTTTCATCTCATTACGACGCTCAGCGAATAATATGAGTGCAATGTATTGAGAAGATTTTATAATTTGGGTAACTTGATGTGTATTTAGAGTAAGTAGGTACTTTTAATATGTTACGAATTAGGTGCCTCACCTAATGGAATTTTCCTACGCCTTAACTAAGGGATGACAAAATATGTGACCTGTAGGAGTACGAAAACGGACACGTGCGTGATGTTACTTCATCAAAATCTCTACCAATGAAGTGCGTCAAGAATAGTTGGTGACCAACTTCTCGCATCTCATTACGTCGGCGTCACCCAACCAATAATAAGAGCGCAATATATTGAGAAAAATTAATACTTTTGGTAACTTGATGAGTAAAAAGTCAATCTAAATACGTTACGAATT